GTTCTAAATTTGCCACAGACGTAATATGCCGAATATACAAGTAATTCTATTTTCAATAAGTGTGATTGTATTTTCTTTGTTTATAATGGTTGATATCCGGTTCATTTGCATCTAGCTGATACGGCTTTTGAACGTCATTTGTATTAAATAAATTCATGGCACAATTATTCATAATAATAAATCTCACAAGCACAATGTTCGCAACAATGTTCGCACAATGTTCGCATAAATCTCACAAGCACAATGTTCGCTCCTATGGTGGATCGAGTTAAAATAACTCCTTGAAATTAACAGTGCATATTTGGAGGTTACCATGGTCAACTAAAATGCATGACGACCATTCCAAATAAAACTTCGACCGTTTTAATTAATACATTTTATTATAAGTTCCACGTACATACAAATCGTGTTATTGAATACAAAAAAAATGCCCTAATACATTTACGTAAGAGTATTTATTTATTTCGACATCATATATACTACAAATTACCACGGATATTTCATCTTTCATTGCTCAACTGTCACTTGGCGATATACATTTGGATGAGCACGAAGACGGTCGTTTAAAATTATGCCATTATATTAAAAAATGTCTGGCCTAAAATGAATTACTTGGCATGTTACGTTCTCAATGTCAGAGGAACACACAATAAATCTATTTCTGACGTAAGCTGCTAACACCGCACTAGCATGTACTTCAGCTAATAATGGAGATAATTAATTTATTAAAACAACGCGATCCTCGAATTTACAATTCCTTCATTTCGGATTAAAGAGTACTTAATTTAAGCGAGCGACAACTACTGCTTTACCGACGCGCTATCGTTAGTAATAAAGTAAATCATTTCAATCACTTTGGGAGTCTGTAAACTTTATTAGAGAGCTTGGAATACAATTTATAATCGTATTTGTATGGGAATATAATTCTGTTTTCCATTGTCATTCACGTTGCGGTTGCATCACTACTCAGTGACGTGGAGGGGAGTAGTTTCCCTTGAGATGATCATGAAAACAATGTTCTTTGCCAAGTCTTCACCTACTTTATTTTATTTAATTTCGTTTTATTACGTCATTTGCATGGAATAAGCTTCACAATAACAAATTACACAGGCAGAATGTTTGAATGTTAATTATATTTGATGATCTCTTAAAATTTCGTGTATGGCTGCTCTTTTTCAAACTAAAAGGAATGTTCTTATGAAATTCAGATACGTTTTCGTCACTGACATCGACACCTACTTTCGTTACAGAGCTCAAATATTAGAAGAGATAAGATGTGCTATCATAGTAAAATAATTAAGCCACTAAATCAGCATACTAAATGCACGAAACGTCTCAACGATGGCTTTTTTATTTAAAATTTCACACTGTCCAGGGACTATAAACAGTTTGCCAGGCAAAACAAAAAATAATCGTATACAACCCTTCAACGAAAATTATTACTATACAAGAGGTTGTACAGGCATGAATTCCATAAAACTATTGCCTTGGTAAAGGATTTTGCTGAAGCAACGCGAACATAGCTGCAGGCTTATATGTCCTGCGCATGACCACAACCTTGACGGAATGCCATAGCAAAGCGGGGAAAAATTATAGGTCCACCGCCCCCACACCCATCTCTCGCCCTGAAAACATAGATGCATAAATGTATTCATCATAATCGCACAGCAAACATAACCTTAAGAATGAGTTTAGCACAGAAACCTGCATGCACGAACTTCATAGTAATATATAGATTGGTAATCCTGTAACAACTGCATAAAAATCCCACATGCAGTTGGCAATTTATTAATGTTCAGACAATTCTTATGACATGAAAATTGAGAAGGAGAACAATTTTTATCGAGTTTTTATCTGATTAAGCTAAGATTCCCATTACTGGTATGGAATTGTGCAGTTGCATGTAAAACACACACTCTCATTGGCTTAATTAAATGCAAAATTTGCAGTAGCTCTTCAAAACGCAAAGTTCATAGTAGGACTTCTGTAATGCATGTATATGCTTTTCTGGCTGAATGACAGAGTTAAAGTAGTTAGACATGTCAAATATCATATAATAAAGTGTTGTAATATCCGCATATTTTCCGACCCAACCGAGAGTTTCAGGTAGTTGAACCGTTCTGTTTATGTTTACACCATGCATGTGTCATTAAAATAAGTTCAAATACGGACATAAGATAAGCTAGATTTTTTCAAGATTAGCCCCCATGTACACACATGCACATAGCCTAAAATATTAGATATAATTGTATAATGAACCAATGCATCGAATATATTGGCGTCCTAGCTGCATGGTAAATCCCCACCTCCCACCCCTTTTTCTAGGCCTAATTTGCATCCATCTGAGATTCTTTGCACTGCCAAATTACTCCCCTCGACTATCTATATTAAAAATAAGTTATATTATAGAACGCCTGTACATATTTTATACATATGTATATATGTAATATATTGAAAGCAATAAATCGTAATCTCAGCGTTTTCAAATGTTCAATGATTGGCAAGACTTGTTAATGTTCAATAGTGTGCAATTTGTATTAAACATATATATGTTATTTACCGGATTGGAGGTCCGTTTTTAAGACCTCGAGAAATATTTCTCTATACGGACCGACCATACCGGTAAATAATAGTTTTATTTTTTTTAATCCCCCCCTCTAAATTTTCCCAACCTCCTCTCCCGCACGCGAATGAAGCTGCCAAATAAGGAAGTCACCTGACATGTTTATTTAAAAAATTCAACAACGAAACATTCTGAATACAAGCATTTTTCAAGCAAAAAAAATCATTTAAATATATAAATATCCAATGGAAGTTTGTTATAAAGGAATCAAACCTAACAGAAAACCTCAAAAAGGTTATATTTAGTCCGAGTCACTGCCATCGCTCAAGATAACACGCCTTTTTTATGGCAAAAGTTGCTTCTGGAGCTCTGATCGGACTTTTACTCGCGTTGAGAAAAATGTTGAAATGACAGCCTTCGATCTTTTGAATTGTTGCCCCCCTGAAAACATGCCTTCGACTCAGACTGGTTGGAGTAGGAAAGGTTTTGTTGCTGGAGACTGTATTGTGATTTATTTGGTTGAATTGGCGCTTGGTTTGTGGCAAAAGACGAGGCTCCTGAACAACTTAAAACGAACGACATTTTTCGCTGATGTGCTGTCAAAGCGGATTTGTAAGAATCGAGGCTTTTCAAATTCTTATGACCGCTCAGTTGGGCGACGTAATTCTCGGGAATATCGGCATCCATTAAACGGGAAATACAAGTTTTTCTCACCGAGTGGTTTGTGTTGTTACCAGGCAATTTAGCAGCTTTCGCAGCCTTCGAAAGAAACTTGCCAATTTCGTTTTTTTTCCGAGTGGAGCTTTGTTATACCAGATCTGAGAACCTGGCTGGCGACGGTGGTTAATAGCCAGGAAGAATGAAGAGTCCGACTGTTTCATTTCATCTGGTTGATGCTGCGAAAATGCACGATATAACTGAACACGACAACGTTCGTTGTGGGTTGCTTGAGCTGTGGGATAAAAGGCTCTCTGATGTTGCCCGTCGCCGTGCCTGGTCTTTGAACCTCGTTCAGCTTTCCACAACAACAATTCGCTGCTTGTTTTCGGGTCTTTACTGATGGATACGTCTCCCCACTTTAGTTTTCTCGACTCGTCACGCGTTCGAAAGCCGAAATGAAGAGAAAGGGCCCAACAAACGGTCTTCTGGAGAACTTCTGGGTCGTGTTTTCCGAGCAAACCCAACTCGAAGAACTTGTCTTCCTCTGCCGTCGTCAACTCTCGACAAGCTTGTGGTCCGTTTCCTTCGGCGTGTTGTTGGACAAGCTCTCGTTTCTTCGCTATAAGAACTTCACGGGATTTGGCAAACACCTGGTCTTGTAGGATATTCATTGTAGAACTCTTGTCGTTCAAATATCTCTGCAAACTTCTTCGTTTTGCAACAATGCCAGGATATGTAATGAACACTTTCGAAGCAGGGCTATATTGCACTAAGCGCTTTTATAGATTGCTTGGTACACATATCCAGTCGCTCTCACCAAGCGCGTGTGGTACAACACGGGCCACCAACGCATCCACACATGCGCAGAGTATCATGGCGCCAGAGTACTCAAACAACCCTAAGGAATGAGCTTTGCATTATTGCGACTGGACACCCATTAGCTCTACAGAGTGCTCAACAACATTGCTGTATTTTTTCATTTAAATATACGGAACGATTACCTTTTGAAGCATTTATAAATCAAACAATACATCAATATTTAACACAAACTTACCTTCGTTCACGTCGGCGACTTTGCTCCTTTCTTTTAGTAATTCTTTTTCCTTTTTTTTTCAAAAAGCTTTTGAAATTTACAAAATCTGGCAAAAATGAAATATATTGGCAAGAAATCATCAAATCATCAAATCAAGAAATGTTTGCTATTTGGCTTCTCCATGCAGTCGCTATAATCCAAATTTCAAATTGAACAAATCAGTTATAGCTATTCATTAGAGTCCGCTATATTATAACGCCCGCGATCATTAATGAACTTTAGACTTCGCTAATGGGGTATATATACTAATATAAGTGTGAACACTATTATAATGTATCAAGGCTAATATCTGACCTCTAAACCAACCCCGCCCCTAACCTCTAAACCCGAGTGTGTATGATTGTCATTGAGCGGAAGAAAAAAAAAGCTGAGCTTGGGCTATAATAGTATTTTATTACTTTCCTATAATGCGCCATGCAGAATACTGGATATTTTTTCAAGATGCATTTTACTGGAAATCCTGGTGTATTAAAAGCCTAATGCAATCAAATCTAATTCGTTAAAGGTAGCCTACGTCCTTTTGCTGTCCAATTAAATAAATCAGTCCAGTCCCATTACGTTTGATACAAAGATTAAGCAATTACCACTAAGTGCAAAGTACTGTACTGAAGTGCGATTAATGACATAGTCTTTTTTGTATACTTACGCTGGTTAAAAGCATAATCAGCTCTGGATATAATCACAAAAAAGGATTAAATGCCGCGAGTTAAAACAAAAATTGGCAAGTATTGTTCACTGGTTATTTATAGATTAGAATTTTTAATCCATTAACCAAATTTTTCATGTAGGTTAGAGGATAAAAAAGACGCATTCATAATCAATACCTCAGTATCTCCAGGGTAACACAAACCGTGTTGTGGATGAAGCAAGTGTTTTAAAGATATTTTAAAGTGCGTAGGTTAGCATTTTGCGACAGTGCAGGCGCATCTCGATTACTTAAAATCTTTTTATTACTATTTTAGCATGGAAGAAAAATTTATAGAGATGTGATTTCAAAATATATTGTGGCAAAATAGCATAATATCTAGTACTGATTTGTAGAAAACTTAGTTATTTTATTGATCATAACTCGCGTTCTTTCAGCATTGAATGCATTGAATAGATATTTTTTTAAAAAATAATGATCTACCATTCGTCACTAGAAGCAGTGCCAGATTAAACATACGAATAAAGCGGCATATGCCAATTAATGCGCTCCGCGCTTTCGTGGCTGCGCGCTTTTTGGGCCTCGCGCTTACTCTTTTCGACTTTTTTATTCCCTGTTTCGGCGTAGGGCCCATAAAACATTGGCTAATTAATGCTCAGAAGATACATACTTTTAGGTTATTATTTGCTTTAAAATCTAAGTATTACCATCTTAATATAATGCAATATGTAGCTGTCAACAAGTCCTATGATATGATATTATTATTGCTGATTATGCAACGCGCTGCTTGGTTTGAGTTAAGCTAATTTGACTTTTAATCCAATTATTAATAATGTATATATATTTTTGGAAATACGCAGGAAACTTTTCACGCATGAAAAACAACAGGATACTTTTTATGTTGTCGAAACTTTCTGATATCAGTGTTTAGAATCCCTTTGATGGTGAGGGGAGGGGGGAGGGGAGTAAAGGGGGCCCAACCTAAATATATTACACGTGCCGAAAGAAATGTTAATCCGGTCCTAATTACAAGTGCTTGCCTTCCGTGATTACAATTGTTGGCAATATTCACGATCCAAGTCTCTGTCGTTTCTACAAAACAATTATTTTCATCTCCATGTAAATATACAACTCTCAATGCACTACTACACCATAATGTAGCTTAGCGAACAACCCTGTTCCAGGTCTGAAGATAATAATTTTCAAGATGACTTTAAGGTGGACTTCCTTGGCGTTGTTCTTGCTGCAAAACAGGTATACCGTACTTAAAGACACTTGTTGCTCCTTGAAGTATAGTATGATTACAATGAATTCTAAATGGTAGTAAGGCAAATATACGCATTTGTAGTTGGAAGTGTTTATCATTTGTAATGATGCAAAACAATATATAATAAATTTAATGCCCAACTCATTTTACTCTTCCAACCCTTACAAAAATTTCACATTAAAATTTATATATGAAATTGGAATTTCATATATGAAATGAAGATTTTCATATATGAAATTAGAATTTCGCATGTGAAAAGGTAATTTCATATATGAAATTTCAGTTTCATATGTGAAATTCTCTTTTTCACATATTAAATTTCCATATATGAAAAGCAGGTCATATATGAAATTTTAATTTCATATATGAAAAACTAAATTTCATATATGAAATCCATTTCACATGTGAAATTTGGTAATTTCATATAAGAATTTTCATATATGAAAATCAAGTCATATATGAAGTTATACAATTCACATATGAAAAACTAAATTTCATATATGAAATCCATTTCACACTGAAATTTGGTAATTTCATATAAGAATTTTCATATATCGAAAATCAAGTTATGTATGAAGTTATACAATTCACATATGAAAAAATAAATTTTATATATGAAATCCATTTCACATGTGAAATTTGGTAATTTCATATAAGAATCTTCAGATTATGAAAATCAAGTCATATATGAAGTTATATAATTCACATATCAAAAAAGAAATTTCATATATGAAATCCATTTCCCATGTGAAAGTTGGTAATTTCATATAAGAATTTTCACATATGGAAAACTAAATTTTTTCACATATGGAAAACTAAATTTCACATGTGAAATTTGGTAGCTAATTTCATATAAGAATTTTCATATATGAAAATCAAGTCATATATGAAGTTATATACAATTTACATATGAAAAAAGAAATTTCATATATGAAATCCATTTCATATGTTAATATTGGTAATTTCATATGTGAATTTTCATATATGAAAATCAAGTCATATATTTCACATATTATGAAATTATACATTTCACATATGACAATTAAAGTAATTTCATACACGTAATTCATGTCATAGTGAATTGTAATTGGAACTGGCCTACACTGTATTAAAATTCAAAAGAGTAGATTTGACCTTTTTTTAACCCTAGATTTGCAACTCGATTTGAAACTACATTTACAACCGTTATGTTACAGGAGAATAAAAGACAACATGTGAAATGTTGGCAGTTCTTTGAAGATATTCCTTCTTCAAGTTTCTTGAACTTAATTCTTCAAGCATTTTATATTTAAAAGACTATACTGACTAATTATTATAGTATAAACTGACAGGGCCGTGCCAACCGGTATACGATTGGGGGGGGGGGGGCGTATTAAAAAATTTGGGCCTCCCTACCCAAGCAGGACCCCCTCGAAAACATTTTCTTTTCCGGAAAACGGTCGCGAGTGGGGGGGGGGATGGGGCGACGTTATGTTTCCGAAAACAAAAGTCCCCAAAATTTTTCGCAACACTAATTTTCGACCTAAATTTCCCAGAAAATTCCATAATTCACCGAACAAATCCTTAATTTTACAAATTTCCCAATTCCAGCATGCCAGGGCCCCCTGCCCGCAAGTTGGGCCCCCAGGTGTTCCAGGCCTGAGTCCGGTCTCCTCAATTTCGATACCAATGTTTTGATTGAGGGATTGAGTTAATCTTAAATTCTTCATGACTTCATGGGAACTATATTATAGCTTGTGGAGGTAGGTATTTTTGTTATACAAAAGACCATTTTGAAAACGAAAATTCTCATGATGAGCGCTTTTTGATAGTTGACAGACTGGTGCCTAGTTTTCCTACAACACGCGCAAAGCTTCCTGGGATAGCATCATTCGATCACACCGCCATATTTTTGAAATGCAGTGAATTTTCATCTGCTCGATCGAAAGATTTATAGTATTTTACTGGAAGATGGTATATTTTAGCGAAGATGGAACATCAGGGATGACTGAGTAACTTCCAGGTAAGAATATTGTTTTATTTTCTATATAACAGAGCAATTTTGAAAGGAAATATTTACTATCTTCATTCGTGAATTTTGAGCATGTGTTCCGTCTTAAAATTTGAATTCGCTGCGACAATATAAATACATTAGTTTTTATACAAAGGCTTACATTTGACTCAGCCTTTATATCAAATTATGTTTGTTGTAATGCCAAATAGACTAGTTGTGTATATGACGGATTGCCAGATCAAGTGTTCCTTGTATAAAATAATATAGCTTGGCATCTACTTGATTTACTCAATTCTCATATGCCTACCTAGGTATGTCCTAGGTAAACATGGTTTGAGAGAATTTATCGATTTGTTTCCAATTAACTGGTACTTTCATAAGTTTCTATTAATATTTATTCATACATAGGTGGGTCAGTTTAGATAAAAGTTGTCAATTTGATGGGTTGTGTGGCAACTTTCAAACTTTATATGAATTCATTTAGTTTTATATGCTTGTGTGATGTTATGGTGTTACTCCGAGTGTATATCCACACCGGGCAGGCATATTTTACACCGTGGCCAGGTGGTGTATATATATACACTCAGTGTAACATCACACTTGTAAGCATCTTATTCACGTGAGTACATTACACCAACACAGCAAATGATTATAAAAGATTACACTGATATTGAAGGAACTAGACTCAGTTCCAAAATATAGCATACTCGAACTGACCTGACCGCGTAGCTCGGTTGGAAGAGCATTGGGCTAGTACTCCAAAGGTCGTAGGTTCGAATCCCACCGTAGCCAGGTATATTTTTCAAGCCTGCCTGGTGAGGATATACAATGAGAGTAACATCACACAAGCATCTTATTCACCTCAGTACATTACACCAACACAGCAAATAACATTTATTTATGCCACCTGCATGATCAGATGATCTGTTAAATTAAATCAATAATATATGTAACAACCTTTGGGCTACATTTTATATATTTAAGATATACACCCCGGCAAGGATTTGATGGTTTTTGGAATTATTACCTATTTCACTGATTCACTATAATGAGCCCAATTTTCAGCACTTTGTTAAATGTTATCTTGCCTAATGCCGGACAATTTTATTTGTCAAGGGAACTGTCTAGCTAGACTCTGCCCATGTTTCATGTTGATATATTTAGATACAATTTTCCCTAACACTACCTACTGTAAGTACTTTGATATTCAACTCTGACATGTCATGTTAGACAATTTTGATAATCGACTGTGGACTACTTGCCCATATTTCACCTATTAACACCTAAGGAGCAATTTCTTCTTATGTTACATACTTTAAGTTCTTTGTAGGGGTGTGCAGGGTAGAGTCTTTTTGCCCTCCAGCCAGATATGTTGGATAGTTGAGGATATGTTGGATAGTTGAAAAATATCCCTGGAGCCAGATTCAGGGTATTATTCAAGTATATAAGGTTCATGCCTCATTTAAGGTTAATTTAAGTAATCATTTTAATTGGTTAAAAAGTGATGGTGTTTATAAAATTTTGATTTGAAATAATAGGAAAGAAATTCACAGTCTAGCACTAGTAAACATGCATCATTGGTAGCAAAAGCCTCACTTGCATTAGTTCAATGGTCAAATCTGAATTTACAAACAAGCATATAAAATCTTGAAAATAGTGTTTACAAGCATTCCTGTTATCAATCATTGAATAAAAATATGATAACCACCCCTGCTTTTTTAGCCTAATCAAATCATCTAACCGGCTAATCAAATCATCTAACCTGCAGTAACTGTAAATCTTGAAGGCCTGAACCTTATGTAAATAATACCCAGTATTGGGTGGCCATGTAACAGAAAATGAAGTAAAATCTCAATATCTGGCCAGATATGATATCCACTGCATCCCTAGTTATTTGTTATGTTTCATTGTCTTGAAATGCTGAACGACTTTATTGTTAAGGGGAGAGTGTTGGTATGACTGTACAGTATATTCGTATTCAACATACTTATTTAATATATGCACCATTTGTACCCTTTTATAGTTAACCCTCAGATGTGTAATGGCTTCCCTTCCACATGCACTGGGAGACCGACAGACCTACCAAAACAAGACAGGCAACCAAGGAGACCGGCAGACCCACCAAAACAAGACAGGCAAGCATGTAAGTTTACTGATATTTTTCTTTGTGATATAAGTTAACACATTGCGCCCTGATGTGCCCTGCTTTATTATTTTACTCTGTCTAACGCCAGATGATTTACTCATCAAGGGCAGAGCTCTGGTGCTTAATGGATTAATTGGCCTATCTGCCCATGTGTCTAGTTAATCCATTGAGTTGCATTGCACCGATGTGCCTTGCTTTATTATTTTACTCCGTCTAATGCCAGACAATTTACTCGTCAAGGGGAGAGCTGTGGCATTTAATAGGTACAGTAACTTAACTGGCCTATCTGGCCATATGTCCAATAATAATCCATTCAGTTGCATTGTGCCAATGCGCCCTGCTTTAAGTATTATTTTACTCTGTCTAACGATTTAGTCGTATGACATGTGGACAGTGACTGACTGAAACAGTACAGGCTTGACTGCAGTCACTGACAAGAAGAAAATTCAGATCTCGCAATGTATATTAATTTTACTGTATTATCCATATAATATAAACCATATAATTTCTAAACCATTTATATATTTCATTTATATATTTCTAAACCATATATATTTCTAAACCATATAATTTCTTTTATTAGTCCATGCTGGCAGCAAATGCCTTAACTGAGGTGGATAGGCCCAAGAATTTTTCGAAATTAACTAAGAATGCAAGAAAAAGATTCAATGTGAACTGGAGAAGCAGGAGAACTGTTAAGAGAACACAAACATACAGTATTTGTTTTAATATTTTAGTAATGATATTATATGCATTTCTTAATTTTAATCTGTGGTCTTGTCCCTGCATGGTGTTACTGGTAACCCACCCCTGATTTTTTATTTCTGCATGCTTTTAGTTGAGTAATGCATATACAGGGTGTATCAAAAAATGTCCCAAATGGATAATTTCCTCAAAATCACACAAAATTTGGGATATTTTTTGTAACCGAGAGTAAATATACTGTATGTATATTGTAATTAAGTTTTTATTATTTTGTAATTTGTATATTTCGAATAAACTAGTGTCTGATGTGGTATATCAAACCTGCATAGCACGTAACTTTCTTATTTAGGTAGATTTTTCTAAGGGGCAGTTCATATGATTCCGCTTACACAAGATTAAACGAGCGTGCAATGATTTTGAGATATTGAAATAAGTCATTTGTTAATGATTCGGAAAAATAATATGATCCAGGTGGCTTTTGATTTTGTTCTGTAGAAATATCAAATGGGCAAAATGTAATTGTTGAGCACTAATTCGTGCGAATATGTTTTTTTGCATTGATCTATATTTAGTCTGTTGTTAGCATGTGCTTGTCTGGTTTCATAAGGACTTATTTCAATACCTCAAAGCCATTAATCTCGGGTAAATGGGATCGCATAAACTTCCCCTGACTCGCTTAATTTCAATGCATAAAACTTAATATTTGAACATTTGAAACATGTGAGAATTTCATACATGAAGTCTTAATGTGGAATTTCATATATGAAATATTTGATATATGAAATCTTTATGTGGAATTGAAACAGTTTCATATATGAAAATTTCATCGGTTCCTTTCACGATTTCTTGTTGCAAAGAACAGGTGGGCAATTTGTGTGAGCATGCGCGAAGAAAATCAATATGGCGACATATATTAGGAGTGTTTCGTGAATTTATCTGGTTTTAAAGCTGATAAAACAACATTTTAATGAACGAAAACTTTGCATTCCAAAGGTTTTAAATTGAAAATAAGTACTTTTGCTTTATTTTATTGCTTTTTATAGCACTTTCAAAACAGGCAAGCTCATTTTTTGGCAAAAATCTAATCTAATATTTTACCCATCATTTGTTTAATCTGAACAGAAATAGATAGAACACTTGGCTATATAAGTTACAAAGGTATTGCTAGCTTATCTGAAAGATTTCAGTAATCCTGGTACTCATTTTAACAAAGAATGAAATGTAATTTCAAAAATTAAACATGCATATCACAAACAATAGTTTTTATTAGAACAGCACATAATAAGTTGTTATTTTCTATTTTTACAAAAACAAGTTTGGAAACAGGATTTAGTCCTCCACCTTGATGTCATATTCCATTTGTTTGGATATTTCAATAAAGGAATGTGAAATAATAATTTAATCTTGTGCAAAATTTGATACCAACACACATGTGAACAGATATTATCACCTAAAAATAAAAGAAAACAGAACTTAAATTTATCATCGAATACTATGAAAAAAATCTTAGATTCTACAGGCATATAGTGAGCACAATTCTTTAACAAACTCGCTAAAATAAGTTAAGTTATACTATGATAAAAGGATGGCAATAGATAACAACATCAAATGTTGTCATCTTCAGTGTCCAGAAAAAGTGCCGCGCGCATTTTTCATGGTCGCATAACTGGTATTGCCACAAACCCAGGTGAAAAAGCAATTAGAAAAACCTGGTTTTGGGTGATGAGCATAGTCAAATTCTTGACTTATTCAATTTTCTATGTTTTTCCAGGTAAACAGATTAAACATTGAAATAAGCCACATTCGGGACTTCATAGAATCCAAAATATTGTGTATGGACCAGACTTTTTTCAATTTTCTGTGATTTACATATCACTAGTTATAATTTAAGGGTCAACCAGTATTGTTCAAGACATATTATCTTTCCAAAACACCTTTTCAAAATACTAACTCAAGCATATCAAAAATAGTGTACATTTACAAGGGCAATTTCAACCCACTGGCACATTTTTCCCATGAATGATTTCAATTCTAATAGAAAGGCTATAGATAAAACTTTGATTTAAAGCTAGTTTCAAGTGATGAGCATACCCTAATTTTTAAGCTATACCTCAAAGAAGATGGGCCATTTCAACATAAACATTGAAATATGGGTATACCGACAGCTCTGTCACACGTGTAGTTTGACATTAGCAGCCCTTCTGAAACATTTTAATGAAAGTATAATTCACAAAATTCACATTTTCACTTCTTAACATCTGTTTTAATCCAACTAGCTCTGTAGGCACGAGCGAAATTTAGTGTTGATGTAAATATCCATTTAGTTCATGTTTCCCCGGTGAAAATATAGTCTATTCCAACGCTGATTTCGACGTTCTTTAGCTTTTCAGAAACCGTTGGCCTTTCTCAGTGAGAATATCAACTGTTTCACAAACATATTTGATAGTAAACAGCTAAAATATTCTCCGAAAGTCTGTATTTTTGTTCTTCTACGCGAAAAAGGCAACTCAAGAAGAAATGAGCCGATATATTTGGTCAGCGTCGACAAATTGCCCACCTGTTGTTGCAAAGTGCATTTTTATCACCCAAAACAACAGCTGGGAATTTTGTACGGAGCATGCGCGAAAAAATCAATATGGCGACATATATTTATAGGAGTGCTTCGTGGATTTATCTGGTTTTAAAGCTGATAAAACAACATTTCAATGAACGAAAACTTTATAATATTTAGTGGAAAACATTAAGCTATGCAATCCAAAGGTTTTAAATTAAAAATAAGTACTTTTTCTTTATTTTATTGCTTTTTATGCTTTGAAAATAGGCAAGCTCATTTTTTTTTAAAGAATCTAAACTAATATTTTACCCATCATTTGTTTAATCTAAACAGAAATAGATAGAACACTTGGCTACATAAGTTATAAAGGGAACTGGTAGCTAAACTGAAAGATTTCAGTATTCCTGGTACACATTTTAACACAGAATGACTGTAATTTTAAAAATTAAATATGCATATCAAAAACAATAGTTTTTATTAGAACAACACAGAATAAGTTGTTATTTTCTATTTTTACAAAAACAAGTTTGGAAACAGAATCTAGTCCTCCAGCTTGATGTCAGATTCCATTTATTTGGATATTTGAATAAAGGAATGTGAAATAATAATTTAAACTTGTCCAAAATTTGATACCAACACTCAAGTGAACAAGATACTATCACCTAAAAATAAAAGAAAACAGAACTTAAATTTGTCATATAATACTATGAAAAAATCTTAGATACTACAGGCATATAGTGAGCACAACTCTTTAACAAACTCACTAAAATAAGTTAAGTTATGCTATGATAAGAGGATGGCAATATATGACAACATCAAATGTTACCATCTTCAGTGTCCAAAAAAAGTGCCGCGCGCATTTTTCCCAGCATACCCACTAACTTTTCCATGAAGGTTAAATAATGATAGTTTTTAGCCATATTTCGGAGAGAGGCAATGGGCAAAATTTTAAGATATTTTTATTTATATGCCATATCACCACAGAATTTCACAAAGCAAGCATGCCTATATTCAGGATTGCCGTTAGACTCTTAAAACTGAACAAATCAATACGGCATTTCCTATCCCATAACAACCAATACTTGAACATTTTCAAAAGCATTTTTGCAGCAATTTTTACTTTATAACAAACCAATACAGGAACAATTTCATAAGCATGTGATAACATGACATTTTCACTTCACAAGTGGATTTGTCAATTACAACATTTAGCACATTTTTCCCATGAATAGCTCAGGTTTTAATAAAACAAAGTATGATTTATCTCTCATAAAATATATTTTCTAACTAAAGGCAACGGCCAGTTTTTACGAAATTGCAAGAGGAATGTGTGTCATTTTCATCAAAATATGTATTTTAAGACACTTATTATTCCAGATGAGGAAGGACAAACAATTATTGAACATACCTGTGGAAACAACAAAAACTCAGCTTCTATCAAGAGTAAAATATGAACATTTCCTTGTTTCCATACTGTTGTACCCTGCTTCTGAAACTCTGACAATGAGTGAAACATTTCCACTTGTCGCCCATTTGTAAATAAAAATTCTTCCCACGTTTTCATGCGATTAAGTCGTTATATCGTTGCGTACAAGCACTACCACTTAATCTTTCAAGAAACACTTTATTTTCCATGAACAAACCAGTAAAAGAGGACAAAAAATCCTCTCACAATGCATATTTTCAGCGTTCGAAGAATCAAAATGTTTGTTAAAGAAATGCGCCCGCAATATTTAAACAGCGACAACAGAATGCCCAGCTGTTACCCGAAACTATAACGTATAAAGTTCCAATTTTCCAA